CACACACTCTGGTGTTCCTATCACTATGGGGACATTCCATAGACATAATGGTTTTTCTACTGTACAAACTGTATTTTCTGTGCCCTTACCCCAACCCTACACCTCACACAAAACTTTCTGCACTCAAAAAATAGTACTGGTATTACTATCCTTGTGGGGACATTTTATCCGCATAATGTAGGGAATACCAGGTACACACACACACACACACACACACAAATGCACACACACACAAACACTCATACAGTCACAATTACAAACACACACACACACACATACACACACACACACATATCAAGGTTCTGAGTAAAAACCACAAACTATCTTTTAAAGTGTACATTTTCTATGCATTTAACTTTATTATATATTCATTCAGTATATACAGCAGTATCACTGAGATACTTGTTTTTTTTTTTAATATTTGAATTAAATTTTTGTTTTGTATTTTAATTTTCATTTTAATTTTAGTTAAAGTTTTAGTATTTTTGTGTATTTTATTTGTATTAGTTATTTTAGTTAGTTTTTTAACATATCTATATTTTTTATTACATTTTGTTTATATACATTTGTTATTTACGTTTGTAACTAGCTGAAATAAAACAAGTAAAATAGTAATAATTATATATAATAATAAGATATTACTATCAATTGTATATAATAATAATTAGTCAATATTAATATAAAGAAAAAATAAAATGTCTTATATTCAATTTCAGTTACTTTTGCTTCAACTAACAACATGCTTTTTTATTATTATTTTAAATTTAGTTTACTGTAATAACCCTGCTGAACAAAAATAAATTCAACTCAAATCAACATTTCATGTCCACATGTTTATTTATGTGTTAAGTAGCTGGATAATAAGCTGGATCATGTACAGTCAGACAGTCATGATCACAAAATAAACCACTCTTATTTTGTTTACTTTGACATAATGACTGGCCACAGAATGTACATTATGCTTTACCATGGTACAAGTCCCCAAAAAACAAACCTATGGTAATACCATGATACGTTTTTGATGGTAAACATTCACTAACCCTTATTTGAAACAAATTAAAAGAAAAACACCTGAATAGCATCATCATAACCTGAACAAGAGGGCCGGAGTTACATTACAGGAGCTGTGATACGCATCAGATTATTATTATTACAACCTGCCATCTAAACATTCATATCCATTATATCAAATCTGTAGAACATTCTAAGGTATTCTTCAGAGTCAACAGAAGTAGTCTGGCTGAAATTAAGGATGCTGTATATAAAGTAGTGGTCAACCAAAGTGTGCTTTTTTTTCTTTTTTTTTTTTTGATACCAATATTTATGCTGATGACCAATATAACGCTGATATATATACAGTATATATATATACACACACACAATGCAATTTAATGACAGCAAATGAGATTGCTTAAATTAAATAGATGCTTATTTTGCAATAAAAATATTTAGGCCTAAATTGAATATTTATGTATTTGAAATGCATATAAAATTTGGATTTAACATAAAACAAACTTAATGTGATGCGTATTTGTAAGTCATACAGAAACGAAACAGGTCTGCAAGTAAAAATCTGTTTGATTTTATTTAAATAATAATTATAATATTTAATTGCTTAGAATCAGCATGCATTTGTGAAATCAATCACATGTATGCAGTTAAAAATTATGAACATGTTTAAAATATGGCTATTTAAAACAGAAACAAACAGGATTTATTAATAAATTAAATATATATAAACCTGGTTATTGTGTATTTAAAACACATTTAGTTTATTTGGCCTGTTTCATTTATATACGATAAATATGCATCACGTTAAATTCAATCCAAATTTTATATGCATAAATATTTTTTAGGCCTAAAAATGTTGTCGAGTACCTATTGACTAAAGATAAGGGGAACTATCACTAGTTTTATTCAGTCAACTTGGTTTTCAGCAGATAATCTCCAAATGGCCAAATATCGGCCGATATATCAGTCTATGGCTAATATCAACCCTATTTTGCATAAAAAGAAACAGTGCTGAGCACATGAATCTTAATCTGGGATATGCTTCCACCTAGTGGAGGAGGATAAATCAAGAACAGAACCGTCTGTAGAAATCTGACATACTGCACCTGCACAGACACCAGAAGTAGTATGTACTGTAGTATATGAAACCTCTGGTTATACTGGTCACACTAACATGGTTTTCACACATTTAAATGATCAATACTGATGAGCGAAAGCCCTAGACGGTCAGAAAGGACACTCGGAGTGGTGTAGCTTGGCATCTTGAGGATTCACTAAATGTCACAGCAGCATTCGCTTGGAAAATCCAATAAATAACATCAGTCAGAACGCACTGTGGTGTTTAGTACTTGCTCACCTAGTGATTTACAGATTAAATGTTAGGATTAAGAGTGATGAACAACATTCGCATGCCATATGTGTACAGTAGCTCGGCTGACGGCACCCTTTGGTTACACATTCATGATAAGTAAGCCTCAGTGTCGGCGCTCTGTTGATGTCTGCGACACAGTGCAGCATCCGAGCCGTTAGCACTAAGGTAGGAAGGGGCCGTTTCTTGTACTCGCTCGGTCCGGAGCGCTTCATTGGACAGAATAGCTGTTCATCGTGCAGTCCGTCCCGCCTGCAGCACACACACACGCACACACACACAGGCAGGTTTACAGCCAGCATCAAGGCTTGTGCTTGAAATGAGCCTCAACTGCAAAGAGAAAGAGATACAGTCAGTTTCTCAGATTCCAATTTGGAGATTTTCTTTCTGTGGCGCGAGTGTGTTTGTGTACCTGCGTACTCCTGCGGCATCATGGGGCGGTTGACGACTCTCTGAAAGGCAGCGATCCAGTCCTTCTGCTCTGCTTCGGTTTCACAAGCAAACAGGAACTTCCTGTCCGGGGTTTCAATGGTGATCCCGTACTTCCAGTGGTATCCCTGGATCGAGGGCGGCAGTCCGGATACCACGGTATAGCTGTTCTCTTTACTGCCGATGAACACCTCGCCACGTGCATATGCATCCTAAAAGAGTGAATATAATACTATATAATACTTCAGAAATATATATAATATATATATTTCATTTTTTTTATTTAAAAAATTAAGTTTTTAATTGTATTATATCCCATTACATAAAATATGAAGTTTATTTACAAAAACAAATAACTCAAAATTTTAATTTTCAAAAATCATGTTTTTTTATTATGTTATCATGTTTTACTGTGTTTTATTGTGTTAGTTAGCTGTATTTTTTTGTTATTTTTTAACCTGATCATACTGCAGTTTGATTGAGATTAATTGGAATACACAATGAAAAACATTATTTTTGAAAATTGTTAAAAACGGAGTTTTTGCAAATAAACTCTTCAAATGTTCTTACACTTAAACCAACAGTTCAACTTCAACCAACTGAACCATAAGAACATATTTGTGGGCATAACATAAGTAGACACATTGCGTTTGATTTTATTTCATTTAAAGGGGTCATATGATGCGATTTCAATTTTTCCTTTCTCTTTGGAGTGTTACAAGCTCTTGGTGCATATATTGTGTAGTTAGCTGTATTCTTTTAGTTATTTTTACTTAAAATAACCCAACTGCAGTTTGACGGAGATTCATTGGAATTTTGAAAATTGTTAAAAACTGAGTTTTCTGTTTTTGCAAATGTATTAGTAATTAGTACTTCATTTAACATACTAACATAATAATATATAATACAATCAAATGTGAAAAATTAATATATATATATATATATAATATATAAATGATATTGTATGTATGTATGTATAAATATATAATTAAAATAAACATTTAAAAATTAACAAATATATATTTTTATATTTATTATATTGCATTATATATGTTAAATGCAGTACCTATAACATAACATACAGTACATAATGTAATAAAATAAAACAATAACTAATATTGCATTATATTACATTATATTATACATAATATAACAATATAATAAAAAATACAAATAAAATGTATAAATAAATAAAAGAATATTAAATTTTATTTAAAAAAAAATAATTAAATTATATTCAAAATTATAAAATATTATTCAAATTAGATTTTAGTAGTTAACATTTAACATACACTAAAATAATATAATATATAAACTATATTTTATTATGTTACATGTAGTACTATACTTAATGTATACTAATATAATAAAATTAAATAATAAATTATATTGCATAATATAATAAAATAGCAATTTGAAATGGAATATAACCAGAAAAAAGTCACCACTTTTACTCACCAAGGGATCTTTAAAGTACATTAGTCTTCTATCATCCATGGTAAACCATCTTTTCTTAAAGCCCTCTGTGTGCTAAAAAAGAGACGACTCCAACATGAATCAATGTTTAGAATGGCATTAGTAAGAGATAATGTCCAGTCAGCAGGTCAGTATCGTCCCTGAGGACTTTATTTTGTGATAATGACCAGCTGACTAGACATTATCTGCCTTATTACACAGCCACTTACCAAATAAATACATAAAAGGATATGAAATATTGATTTCACTTAAAATTATTTACTGTGCCAGAGAAAAGAGTGAAATGAAACTCGCAGAATGAAGCATCTATTGCATGACTTGGACTGCATTTCTTTTCTGAATATTTATTGAAGATAAGTAAAAACTCTCACTCTTGGGCCTGTTTTCTCCATGTAACCCTCCTTCATGAAGTTCCTTGTGAGTCTGGGTACCAGCTACATCATAATCAAACACAGACAGAGAAAACATATCAATAATAAAACATATGAATACTATATTAACATGTAAATATGTGTGGATGCTCTTTAAACATGCACAGGTATTTGAATCAGTATTATTGACCTGGTTTCCAGTAAAAATGTCTATATACATATACATATACCAGATAAAACTGAAAAAAAGCGAAATTGTGTACTATACGACTTATTATGAAAGAATTAAATAGTTTGAATTAAATACTTAAAACCTTTATGTACATTAGAAAAATTATTCATAATGTACATTATAATGCATTATATTTTTTCACAAATAATTGTATTATAGTATTTGCAGATTCCTCGTTGCATCTGGTTGTTTGTAATGCATTTTAATGCATTATACTGTATTTTCTGTGTATTATAACTGTGGTGTATTATTCATAACATCATACAATGCATTATAAGGTGCATTACAAAGCAAATTAAAATACTTTCATAATGCATTACAGCCTATATAAAAGCCTTTAAAGTGTTTTTTCTTGTTTTAACCATATAAACCTATTATGGTTATATAATGTATGCTTAAAAACAATTATAAAGCTTTCAGATGTCTTCTCCTAATATCTTTTATAATTCAGCATCTCAAGTAAATTGGATTTGTTTTCACAAGATTAAAATGCTGAACAAGAAGATGATTGTTTGCCGTGTAAGAATGAGAAACGTGCTTTAGTGCACGCGTTCACAATCATACAGTGAGCTTCACGCTCATAACTCATTTTTATGTGTCAGTTGCTGGAAGAGATTTGATTCACATACGTCCTCATCATTAGCTCCAGGAAATGCCACCTTCTGGTAATGAAACCGGGCTGCCCGGATCGCAGTGAACCAGTCCACCATTTCCTGCACACACAGACACACACACACACACACACACACACACACTCACACAATGAGGACTACAGGCAGATTTTGCAGTGTTTCTCTGCAGCCAGCAGAGGATGCTTTATGATGCAGTAACTGCACAAATGACCTCCACAAATGACATTACAGCTCCACCTCAACCGCAGCCAGAAACTATCTCTTCATCTCTTCTGAGAGCCAAAGCAGTGCTGATCCTCCAGTAGAACAAGTTCACGCTGTTCCTCTTTCTAAGGAATGATAAATATTCATGTTTGTGATAAAGCACACAGGTACTGTGTGTGGTGAAAGAGGAAGAGCGTTTTTACAGCTCAAACCACTGATGTTTGTGGTAGAAGCGCTGTACTGACCAACGCTTGACCATAATACCCCAGCATGCTGCTCTCGCCAACTCTATCTTCATCCGGCATACAAATGAAAAGCCAAAGCTAAGAGGTTTACACATGGATGATCAGCAGCTCATCTCATTGACACTGGGAGAATATTAAAACGGGTTTTATTGGGGAAGTAAAAAATATATAGATATAAAAAATATATATTTTCACTGTATGTACTGTATATATATATATATATATATATACACACACACACATACACATACACACACACACATATATATATATATATATAAACAATTTTTCTATTATTTAAATCTAAACAAATTTATTTAAAGTCAAACTGAAACTAGTGGTTTGTGGGAAATGCAGCATGTAAATAAACTCTTGTATCTCTCATTCAGCATCAATACAAATGTGTGGCTTTGAGCATGTTTTGTGTTTGTATTATATAAGTTGATTTAGAAATATAAGAGGCAGTGCATTTCAGATGATAAAAACACAACTTACCTGTATATTTAGAAAATAAATTATATTGCATAGAAACTTGGGGCTCTATAGGAGCCTCAGTATCATTATTGTTATTTTTTAATATTAAGCACCAAGGGGAAAAGCTACGCTATTTTAGAATAATTGAGATACTGTTATTTTAGATCAGTTTTTAATTAAAGTTTTAGTAATTTTGTTCTGTGTTTTTGTCATTTTTAGTTGTTATTGTTGCTGTTTTTTGGTATATGTCTCTATTGTTTTTGTCTTTTTTAAGTTAGTTTTTTTCCAAAGTAAATTAAAATGAGAAATGTCACCATGGCAACTAGCAAATAATGAATTCTTTATAGTTTTGATTTTAGTTTCCGTTTTAATGTTAGTAAACAATATTAACCCTGTGAAGAGCATATCATTATTCGAGTTGGTATACACCTAACAAAAAAAGTAAGATATGTGTAAACTTTGTCAAATATATGACACACTGTAATTGTAGACTGTAGCAAATTGTAGCAAAGAGGCTTTTTTTTTTTTTGAGGAATAGGGCATTTAAATGATCATTTTCAACCCATCTCAGTAAGGACTCTCGTTCACTTCACATTTACATTTCTATGGAAGTCTTAAAGGCCAAACATTAAAAACAGGCAATTTAATTATACCGGTTAGTCAGAGCGTGGAAAATGGTCATGAAAAACTCAGATATGACCCGTTTGGGAGCAAGAAACATTATAAGTGGGCCTCAGGGGAAGAAATGAAATGCAATCATATCAAACTGACTCTTTTGAATAATAAGAGTCTGAATAAAGGCTGAATGCAATGACGGTTATGCACTGAAAAATTTCAAAATCCGACCTTGAGAGAGACAGTGACTGTACTGTCGTCTATTGATAAACTGTGTTACTTTGGAGAAAAGCATCTGGCAGATGTACAATCTGAAACATTCAAGAGCACAAGCGAGGGAATTTGATGGGCCTGATACCTTACTGTCCTCGTGGTACACAAAGATATTCCTGGTGCTGTTGTCTCTCAGATAGGTGATCTGCAGGCCGCAGGGGTTTCCTATTTTAGCCGGCTGGAAAGTAGCATTTAGGGTTTGAATCCTCATTATGGCCTTTGGTTCTTTTGCCTGGAAGATAAAAGAAATATCTCAGCTATAAACGCACGCTTTCTGGACTACAAAATATTTTGAGAACCAACCAGAAAGTCCCTAGAGTCACATTACAGTTTTATAGTGCCGGTGGACCGGGATTGTTTTGGGTAAGCACAACTTACAGTATTGTGTTTGTATGTGTGTGTGTGTGTGTGTGTGTGTGTGTGTGTGTCACAGGTTGAGCCCTACCTGTGCACGTGCCTGTTCTCAATGATAAATGAATAAAACTACATTTTACAATAAATTTATATTCTAATAATGATAATTTAATAAAAAACATTAATATAAATTATTATTATTTACATTAAATATTTATATTATAATATTATAATAATATTTATATTACATTTTTATAATTTAAAATATATATTATGTCTATAAATTAATACATTTATATTCATCATTAGGGGACATTCTCAATGACGAATGAGATAATTAAAATCTTAAAATAAATTTATATTGTAAACATATACATTTATAAATATATAAGAATAAATTTAATGAATCTCAGCTGGCTCATTCCATACTTCATTCCATTAATTAATTTACACACACACACACATATATATATATATATATATGTTATATTTAGATTTTTTTTATTTCTATTAATACTATTTTTTCGAAATACCTTTCTAAAATTATTATAATTGTTATAGTATCATTAAGATAGTATTTGAGTTTTTATTAATAGTTTGAATTTATGTTGTTACATTGTTATCAATTTTCATTTTAATTCTAGTTATTTTAGGTTATTTTAGTAGCTGTTTTATTAATTTTGTAGTGTGCTTTTGTATTTTTTGTATTATTTTGCATATATATTATATATAGTTTTTATTAATTTTATTTCAGTTTTGGCTGTAGTTATTTTAGTACTTGAAATGAAAATTAGACATGTTGCCTTGGCAACTAGCTGAAATAAAATACTTTTTAAAATATTTTATTTTAGGTAACAATCATGATTTTCATGGTTCTAGTTTTAGCTAACTATAATAACCCAGATATATACAAAATATTTGGTAACACTTTAGACTAGTTAACACTATTAACTAGTTGCTTATTATTAGCATATTGGCTGTTTATTATAATGCACATATTAATGTCTTATTCTGCATAACCATATTTTAGATCACTTAATCTGATGCCAAACGTAACAACTACTTACTAACTATTAATAAGAAGCAAATTAGGAGTTTATTATTCTTTAATAAATTCTTTAATATTACTGTTGAACATGTTCCCTAATCTAAAGTCTTACCAAATGTACATCCAGCATAAATTCCTCATTGAGATGAGTAGGCGTGCGTGTGAGAGAGAAGAAGAGACTAACGTCCTGCTTGTTGAAGTACTTCAGCGCTCCTTCTCGTTCAGACAGAATGAACTTGCGACTGAGGAACTGCCCGTTGTCTCGACCACGTTTCCACAGAAAGCCCTCTCTGTACCCTAATGAAGAGCGAGAGCGAGAGAGAGTGAAAAAGAAAGCATGAGGAGGAGGGTTTTCCACCTACAAACTTTTGCAGTATCTATGAATATCTACATCCTTAAAATATTTTAGTAAATAAGGAAGTTGTAGCTTACTATACATGAGCAACATCAAAACGGCAAAAGATAAAGAAATAAACACTAAAGACAGCTAAAGAGTTTTGTAGCTTGTAAGGCCACGTCTGTTAGCTGTGAGATTTATACATCATCTGATTGTTTGTTAGGAGAGCACAATATTTGTCCGAGATACAACTATTTGAAAATCTGGAATCTGAGGGTGCAAAAAAATCTAAATATTGAGAAAATCATCTTTAAAGACTTAAGACTGCTTTTGTGCTGCAGGCTCACATATTGTAATGATCTCCTAAAACATTGATAAACTGAACTTTTAAAAGCCTTTAAAAACAATAAAAATGACTGATGACTCATCCAGCACTAGAGATTTCTGTCCAATCAAATGCTTTCTAGAAGGAGACAGAGGTTTAAAGGATTAGTTCACTTCCAGAATAAAAAACCCCTGATAATTTACTCACCCCCATGTCATCCAAGATGTTCGTCTTTCTTTCTTCAGTCGCAAAGAAATTAAGTTTTGAGGAAAACATTCCAGGATTTTTCTCTATATAATGGACCTCAATGGGGATCAGCGGGTTGAAGGTCCAAATTGCAGTTTCAGTGCAGCTTCAAAGGAGCTCCCCAGCCCGAGGAGTAAGGGTCTTATCTAGCAAAACGACTCGTCATTTTCTTAAAAAAATAAATTAAAATGAAGTACTTTTTAACCACAAATGCTCATCTTGCACTAGCTCTGCGATGCTTGTCCACGACTTCGCTTTAGGCAGAAGTAGTACCGAACTCTCCTCAAACTGAATTTCTCCTCAAACTTTGATATCGTACGTAAAGGGCATTTGACTTTCTTTGCACATTCACTACTGGGTCGGTACTTCCATTTACGTCATGTGTGACCGTTCCAACATGACTATGTAATGCGAAGTCTTGGACGTGCATCGCAGAGCTAGTGCAAGACAAGCATTTGTGGTTAAAAGTATATAAATGTTTATTTATTTTAGAACATGAGCGATTATTTTGCTGGATAAGACCCTTATTTCTCAGCTGGGATCGTGTATAGAGCCCTTCGAAGCTGCATTGAAACTGCAATTTGGACCTTCGACCCACTTTATGGAGAAAAATCCTGCATGTTTTCCTCAAAAAAGCCTGAATATCTTGGGTGATATGGGAGTGAGTAAATTATCAGGAAATTGTTATTCTGGATGTGAACTAATCCTTTAATGCTTGCGGTTGGGTTTTAAAGTCCCTAAGCAATAGCATTAGCAATGCTTACCTTAGTGTGCACTAATAAGAAACTGGTCTCTATCTGTCTCTCTGCTTTCTCTTTTTTTTGGTACACTAGTGCTCATGAATCATTCACTCTGCATGAGCTCATCAATCGATAACCGTGCCTCTCCACATGACCCATCAATAACACTATTGAACACGTAACGAAATGTCTCGTCATTGATTCAAACAGGAAACTGCAGGAGACGAGGGGAAAGGACAACGAGAGAGAAGAGAAGAGCATGTGTGTGAGAGAGAGGAGAGATGAGAGACATGGAGATTATGAGAGAGGCCTTTGATTCTTTATAACGCACTTCTTCTGTTGGAGACGTCTGGATTCTGCCTCTCCATGATAACAGTCCAGAATATGCAAAAACATTTGTATGCAAGACATACGTTTATAATTTGATAAATACTTTGAATTCAAATAATAATAATGAATATAATATAATAACATGTACAAAACAATATAGTACAAAACATTACTATTTTAGTTAGTAACAATATAAAATAAAATACAGCTAGTTTAATTATATTATTTCATTTTATTATATATATAGTAACAAAAATCTATATATAATTATGTATGTACTGTATATAGTTTGGGGGTCAGTTTTGTTTTTTCTATTTTTGTGAAGAAATTATTACCTTTATTAATCAAGATGCATTAAATTGATCAAAAGTGACAGTTAAAGGCATTTATAATGTTACAAAAATGTCTATTTCAAATAAATTCTGTTCTTTTCAATTTTCTATTCATCAAAGAATCCTGAAAAATAAAATGTATCACCGTTTCCACACAAATATTTGGCAGCACAACAGTTTTCAACATTGATAATAATCAGAAATGTTTCTTGAGCAGCAAATCAGCATATTAGAATGATTTCTGAAGATCATGTGACACTGAAGACTGGAGTAATGATGCTGAAAATTCAGCTTTACATTACAGGAATAAATTACAATTTACTTTATATTCACATAGAAAATAGCTATTTTAAATCATAATACTTTTTCACACTTTTTACTGTATTTTGATCGAATAAACGCAGCCTTGGTGAGCAGATGAGTCTTCTTTCAAAAACATGAAAAAAACCCATTGGCCTCAAACTTTTGATTGGTAAACAAACTACTTCAATACTATTTAATACTTGAGATGGTAGAAAAAGAGATGAAGCGGGGAAGAGTGGGAAGGTGGAAACAGAATGTCTCAAGCCGGCACTGAATTCAGTCTTGCAAAAATACCAATGCCCACGCCGTAGCCTCCAGACAATATACTCCATCATTCAGTTCTGTCGGGATCCAGCATGCTATTAGATTGCAAATGGCCACACTGTGTGACTAATGCTATTTACTGTACACCCACCACAAAAACACCATTACACACACAAATGACTTCAGCTTGAATGTTTAAACACATCAGCAAATCTCATGCAGTACAATGAAATTCATGCAATGCAACACAGAACACAGATGCATGCATGCTTGTATGAGATCATTGTCAGCCAATGAGACCTCGCTTCCCAATAAATAAGACTGTAAGCCATGAAACCGGATATTCTGAGTGGTAATGAAACTGACTTTCCCAGTTAGACGCAGTATGGACCTCTGAGACAAAACTCACACGGTTAAGTGTGCATAGTCAGGAACAAATAAACATCTAGAGATGTGGCTGAAATGAGAGAATGAGACTGACCTCACAGTGCCATGAACCCACAAAAACAAAAGCTAATAATTGCACGAGGAATCACAATGCACAACAAAGAAACCGCCGTGTGTTTGCATGTGCAGCTCTCACCTGCTGAATAAGGCTCTTGTTTCTCGATGTGTATAAACTCCTGTCTCTCATACTTGGCTCTGATCCACTGCTCCCTCAAAATCCTGCCCAAGAAAAATACAACAATTCATGTGTCAGTATTACATTAATGGACCCTCAGGCCATCCAAGATGTAGATGAGTTTGTTTCTTCATCAGATTTGGAGAAATGTAGCATTGCATCAGTGTCTCAGCAATGGATGCTCTGCAGTGAATGGGTGCCGTCAGAATGAGAGTCCAAACAGCTGATAAAAACATCACAATAATCCACACCACTCCAGTCCATCAGTTAATGTCTTATGAAGCCAAAAGCTGCGTGTTTGTAAGAAACAAATCCATCAAGACATTTTTAACTAAAATATGAGTTCATAATCCACAATAAGGCTTCCTCGAGTGAAAAAGTGGTCTGGTCTGAATCAGGAGAGAAATCTGCACAGATCAAGCAACGTTTACAAACCAAAAGAGCTCTAAACAAATATGTGGCTGGATTTTGATGTGAGAGACAACAGGAGATGGACTTTTTCACTGGAAGAAGCGTTATTATGAATTATGGACTCGTATTTTAGCCAGAAGCAATGGTTTGAAGTTAAAAACGTCTTGATGGATTTGTTTCACATGCAGATTTTGGCTTCTCAAGACATTAACTGATGAACTGGAGTGGTGTGAGAATGAGAGTCCAAACAGCTGATGAAAACATCACAATAATCCACAAGTAGTCCAGCCACATATTTGTTTAGAGCTGTTTTGGCTTGTAAACGGTGCTTGATCTGTGCAGATTTCTCTCCTGATTCAGACCACTTTTTCACTGGAGGAAGCGTTATTATGGATTATAGATTATGGACTTGTATTTTAGTTAAAAATGTCTTAATGATAGATTTGTTTCTTACAAACAAACAGCTTTTGGCTTCTCAAGACATTAACTGATGGACTGGAGTGGATTACTTGTGGATTATTGTGATGTTTTTATCAGCTGTTTGGACTCTCGTTCTGACGGCACCCATTCATTGGGGAGCAAGTGATGCAATGCTACATTTCTCCAAATCTGATGAAGAAACAAACTCATCTACATCTTGGATGGCCTGAGGTTGAGGACGTTTTCAGCATTGTTATTTTTGGCTGAATTATTCCCTTTAAAAACTGCATGCACAGTGAAAGAGAAAATGCAGTCTTTGTTGGTCTTTTGTTGGTGTAAATCAACACTAACCACCCATTGTACTTCTGTAAAATGACATATTTCCAAAATTGCGAAAGATCACACAATCATTTGACCAGCCTCAGAGAGAGTAAAACAAATAAGAAGGTAATTGTGACTTTGCTTCTTTCAGTTATGTCTTATGTATGTTTCACAACTGCCACGTCATAACTTCACGTTTATTTCACCCAGTTGAGACTATATTGCTTGAAATTGTCACAATGTCACTTTATTTCATAACGTGATTTTTTTATTTTATTTTTTTCTCACAAAGACCTTTTTTATTCTGAGGCAGAAACAGGTTTCATACACTGAAAAAATGGTGTAAGGTTTACCAAGAAACAATTCACTCAGAAATTTCTATTACATTTGACCATTAATTATAAAGAAATGCCAAGCGATACATTGAATAAAATGTGAAAGACTGAAATAATATTTTCTTGTAAATCAAACAAATATTATTTGAGTATGTTTACAACATTGAAAAATCATTTTTTACAGTGTAGAAAATGATCCCAAGTAACATCCTTTAAATTATTATCTTTTATTATATATATA